TCACTACGGTAATAGGCAAGTCAGCACCCCGCCCCTCTCACACACGCTTCCGTAACTTGTAACTCGCCGCTGGCTAGATTCCAACTCAACTGTCTTCGTAGGCAGTGTAGCTCTCTTATATAGTCGCAGTGCCCGCCTGTTATGGAATGGGTACCGCTGTTGCCTGTTACCCGTGTCACAGCTGCATTGCGTCTTACGTTGCTGTGGGGAGAGGGGCAGTTTGTTGACTCGCCTATTACCGTAGTGATGACAGTGCTACGATGCCGCCACGTACCGCTGGGGTGGGAGGGGTCCTCCGTTGCGCAACATGTCACACTGCTCCCTTCTTAAGGCTGTTCGTCCCGAATAGCCTAATGGTGCATCCCCGTTCCTTTCCTTTGGAGGCTGTTCTTGCAGCATCTTCTTTTTGTCCTGCTACTGTTTCTCTTCTCCCCGTTCCTCTGCTTTCCAACCGCTACATCTTCCCCCTTTTTATGGTTGCTCGTCTCGAGCAGCTCCATGATAAGGCACAAGCCGGTCCAGGTGTACTGAGTTTTCATCCGTTCACTGGGGAGCTTCAGGTGTTGTCGGGCATAATTGTGGATGTCGTGCAGATGATCCACCAAGTCTGCTGCATAATCGGTTGCAGGTAGTTCTTTGTCTGGGGGGTACCCCAAACAGCAGGTCGCAGGGTAGTCATAGTTCTCAACCGAACACAAGGCTAGCAGGGCTCAAGTCCGTAGTGTCGTGAGTGGATGCCCTGTAAGCTAGGAGAAAGAGGGGTAACCTTTCATCCCAGTCCCTTTGTTGGGATGCGACGACCTCTTCCTGCAAGAGTTTACACTTTTCCGTGTTAAGTTTCAGACAGGCTTCCCTGAACCTCTCAAACACTTTCCATAGGTTGAGCATGTGCTCTTGGAATGTGCGGCCTATTACAATCACGTCATCCAAATACACAAGGCATGAATCATATGTGAGCCCTCGTAGGACTGTCTCCATTAGCCTCTCGAAGGTTGCCAGAGCATTGCAGAAGCCAAAGGGCATGACTGTGAACTGCCATAACCCTTGACCTGTCGAAAACGCTGTTTTCTCTTTGTCGTCTGGGTGTACATCGACTTGCCAATAGGCACTCTTTCAATCGAGAGTTGAAAACCATTTGGCTCCGGCCAGCGTGTTCAGGGTGTTCTCAATGCAGGGTAGTGGAAATCAGTCCTTCTTGGTGACGTTCACCTTTCTGTAGTCCACACAGAAACGGAGCTCCTCATTCTTTTTCCTGACCAAAACGACTGGGGACGACCAAGGGCTGTCCGATTCTTCTACAACCCCCTGTCCTCGCATGTTGTCGAGCATTTCCTTTACTTCTGCTTGTTTTGCCAGGGGTACCCTCCTCGGTGGCTGTTGAATTGGTTGGGCTTCTCCCGTGTCTGTGCGGTGATATACTTTGTTTGTCCTTCCATAATCTTCGTTGTCCTGTGCGAAGATATCTGCGTACTCGGCCACGAGTGCTTCTAATTCTTGAAATTCTGTGGCATTTAGGTGTCGCTTGGCCACTGTGGTCAGGTCGACAAATTTCGGTTTTCGGCCTGGTGCTGGTGGCTGCCCCACATCGGGAAAAGTCGCAAGTGTTACTGGCTTACAGTGCACCAGAGGAGATCCTCTCCTGAGCTGTTGGTCCTTGTGGGTAACATTCATGACCCTCACTGGTACTTCTTGACAGTCCTGAACTAGGGTCCTGGCTACGTAGATTCCATCAGGCGGATGGGCTTGCAGGCTTGGTTCTACTAGACCATGTTCCACTCCCAGATTATTCTCCATTCTAGCCAACACTATTCCCTCTCTCTGTGCTGGAATCACTTGGTCCTTTGCCACTGTTCAGCTGGAAGGGCGGGGTCCTGCCCCAGGACTCCATAACAATACTTCTTCTTCCTCCAGACGCAGAGTTTGGCGCCCTATATCCACAGACGCATCATAGGCGCGCAGTATTTCCAGTCCCAGGATGAGCTCGTCTGTGATATTCACGACGAAAACCCACATTGTTATCGGTTGGTGCCCCAGGGTATGGGTCAACAAAACTTCATTCAGGATGGATAGGGATCCTCCAGACATGGTCTGCAGCGTGAAATCTGGATTTGGTTGTCTTTCAGGCCATCTGGCGGTGATATCCGGTCTTACTACCGTGACGTATGCTCCAGTATCCACTCTCACCTGGCACAGCTTATCACCGACCCATCCCTGGGTGACCAGACTGGTGTTGGCCTTTTCTGTGATGTCGGTGAGTGTGTAGTGTGGGGGCCTTAGGGCATATGCTGGTGTCCACTCATGTCCGCCGGCCCTCTTTCGTTTCCCGCCAGTTGGTCATTTCTCCCGCTTGTTTCCCTGTTGTTTGCGGGTCGCCATTGTGATTTCCCCGGCGATTCCCGCTTATTTCTTGGTGTCCGTCTTTTCGGTACTGGTGCTGTCTATTGTCAGTTCCTCTGCCGTAGTGGCTACTGCTCTCAAAGTTCCAGCTTCTGGACTGTTGAGCCTCATCTCGTTGGGTGGTAGGACAATCGGAACTTCCGGTATGTCTTGGTGCTATCTTCGTGAGGTCTAGCTACCACCAGTACTGCCTGCAGCTCTAGTGCTTGTCGGATGGCTTCATTTACTGTCCTCCCCTCCCAGCAGCAGCTGAATCTTTATATTGGCATCTCATATTCCGTATATGAACGATTTTCCTGCCTCTCTTCCAATGTGGTCTGCAGGTAGATTGGTGTAGGCACGAAGGGCAAGCAGTTCAATGGCCGTGGCAAAGTCTTGCAGGGATTCTCCGGGTTTCTGTGTCCTTGTTCTTAACTGGCAGTGGTAAGCAGCTGCAAAGTGTTGGTCCCCGAAATGGTCCTCCAGTGCCCGAAGTGTTTCCTCATAAGTCGTATTTGTCGGAATGCCGGGTAGTACTTCCGCCGCCTGGCCCTTCAGGGCAGTAATTAGGTATGTCGATTTTTCCCTGTCCGACCATTGGTTGTGTTCTTCTACGGTCTCGAACTGTTGCCGGAACACGCTCCAGGTCGAATTTCCGTTGAATGTCGGTGGCTGAGCTTTGCTCGCGACGATTATTGATGTATTTCCCAGCTCGGCCTTCGTCTGTCTCGTCTCGTCCAACTGTGCCCGGAACTCGCATTTGGCCTCCTCAGTTGCTGCGCAGGCTTCATTGTAGTTTTTCATTAGGTCTTCCTGGAGTTTATTTGTTCGCGCGCAGAGGGACACTTCCATTTTCTCAGTTAGTTCCGACTGGAGAATCTGTTTGTCGTGTTTAAAGATCGCAAAAATGTTTTCAGTTCTATGTTGGAGTGTCTCATCCAACTCTGACCGCATAGATTCCATTGCTGCCTTCATTTCTTTCTTGTCGGCTGCCGCCTTTTCTTGGTTGGCGTCTAATTTGGCCATTAAATCTTCTTTGTCTATTTTTCTATTGGCCTTCATCTCTTTCAGCATTTCCTGCTTGTCAGCTTTTCTATCGGCGTCTAATTTTGCCAGCATGGCGATTATTTGCTGCATATCTTGTTTCTCCATTTTGTTGCAGTAAAGTACTCGATGCACAATAATTCAATTATTTGTGGAGGCGTGTTTAAGTTCGTAAACCAGTTCTGACACCAAATCAATCATATTGTAACGTGTTTCGTTACTGAAGACGCCGTAGAGATGGTTAATTGGTTTATTTAACACTCTTCAAATAACGGCTACAATTAATTATCACACAGTTGCGGGGTTTCACACTTTATAACCCTAATCGCATTAATCTGTTAACACTGTTGCGGGGTTTCACGATTTATAACC